ATAAAGACTAAAGAGGGTAATGTAATTAATGCAAATCAACATGGGTTTATGGAAAATAGATCCTATCAAACTAACCTGATATCTTTTTTTTATGAGATTGTGTTAATATAATATACTCAGACTTCTGTAAGGCGTTTGTCTTGGTACCACGTGACATTTTGATTAAAAAACTAGAACAAATATAAATGAACACAGCACACATTAAATGGATTAACAATTGGCTAACTGATAGGTCTTAAAATGTCATTGTAAACGGGGACTTGTCATCAAGCAGGTGTGTTTCCAGTGGGATCCCACAGGCATTAGTTCTTTGCATTATGTTATTTTACATTTTTATCAATGACCTGGAAGAAAACATAAAATCATCCCTAATAAATTTTGCAGATGACACAAAAATTGGGGTGGTCAGTAACGAAGAGGACAGATCAATGATACAGAGCAATCTGGATCACTTAGTAAACTGGGCGCAAGCAAACAATATGCAGGCTAATAGGGCTAAGTGTAAATGTATCTATTTAGGAACAAAGGGTTTAGCCATACCTACAGGATGTTCTAGCCATACGTTCTATCCTGTGAAGCAGTGACGCTGACAAAGATTTGGGGACAGCAGTGGATAAGCTGAATGTGAGCTCCCTGAGTGATGATGAGGCCAAAAAGAGCTAATGGGAGAAAAACAGGGGAAACCCAAGTAGGAGTAAAGAGGTTGTTTAATCTCTCTATTTGGCACTGGTGAGATGGCTGCTGGAATCCTGTGTCCAGTTTTGGAACGCACAATTCAAGAGGGATGTTGATATATCTGAGAGGATTCAAAGAAGAGCAACAAGAATGACTAAGGATTAGAAAGAATGTCTTATAGTGATAGACTCAAAGAGGTCAGTCTATTTAGCTTAACTAAGAGAAAGGTTAGGGTTGAATTGATTGCAATCTATAAGTATCTATATAGGGAAAATATTCAACAATGAGCTCTTCAATCTATCAGAGAAAGGTATCATGGGTATAAGTTGAAGCTACACAAATTCAGACTGGAAATAAGATGCAAATTTTTGACAGCAAGAGTAATTACCCACTGAAACAATTCACAAAGGGTCGTGGTGGGCTCTCCATCACCGGCAATTTTTAAATCAAGATTGGAATTTTTCTAGAAGTTACGCTCTAGGAATTACTTTGGGTGAAATCTCCGGCCTGTGTTATACTGGAGGTCAGACTGGTCCCTTCTGGTCTTAGAATCTATTAATCTATGCTTGCACCAAGTTTACCAAGCAATCCAGATCACTCTAAATCAGCGCTCTAAATCTTCATTATTTACCACTTCCCCAATTTTTGTGTCCTCCGCTAACTTTGTTTTCTTCCAGGTTATTGATACAAATGTTAAATACCGTAGTACAAAGAACTGATCCCTGCAGGACCCCACTGGAAACACACCCACTTGATGTCACTTTCCATTTTACAATTACATTTCAAGTCCTATCTGTTAGCCAATTTTTAAAGTCTTTAATGCGTGCACGTTAATTTTATATCATTCTAGGTTTTTTAATCAAAATGTTGTGCGGTACCAAGTCAAAACACCTTACAGATTTACGTGTAAGGGTATCTCCCACAGGTGCTTTTTGAATGGGAATTCCATGTGACAGGAGATTAACCTATGTTACATTGTTAGGGCCAGATTCTGCTGCCATAACAACATCCTTCCGAAATCAGAAACTTACACAGAAGACTGAGGGCTTGTCTACACAGGAAGTCATAAGGTAGAGTGTGAATTTAAACTATTATTGTTATACCATCGTTATCCATTATGGATGCTCTTATTCCAGTATAAAAGGGCCCTTTTACAGTTTAGGTTATGCTTCTTTGGAAGCGGTTTAAGCTAAGATTAAAAAAACCCACTGTTATACCTGAATGAGTGTCCCCACAGCAGCATTATATAATATAACTATAGTGGTTTAATTATACCAGTATAACTGGAAAAATCTCCCGTGTAGACACCCCTAATTCCCTTTTCCTAGCTACTTCCATTATCCTGGCACATTTGAGATGATAAGTGAAGGCTTGAGCCAGTAACTACATTGCTTTACTGATGAGATGCCTAGGCTATTATCCCTACTATAGGCTGTCAAGTGAGTCACTGGTTTTTTTTATACTTACTGCAGATCAAATAAAGACAAACATCAAAGGCTTGCATTATGTTTCCACCCTTGGAGGATTTACTCATGTACCTTTTGATTATAGCAGATGACACATTCAACTCCAGCATTTTCTTTTTCTTCCAGCTGTTGTTAATAGTTGGCGTAATTGTATTTTTCACAGGACACAATTTCATTAAATAATAAATACTGAAAAGTGTAACGTAAAATGAACAAAAGAAGGGTCGCTCCGTACCAAAGCTGAAACGCTGCTTCTAACCCACCCTGTTTGTGCCTAGCTGTAGTAGCAAACACACTACGTAAGATCAACCCGCCATTCCTAGACTTGAAGGGCCCGTTTTCACTGCACAGTTAGTCTAGGTGATTGGCACCCAGGTCTAAAAGCCCAGGTGAGCCTACCCTCTGAGCAAGCATCGAAGAGCTCTACTCGGGGTAGTGCGTCCTCATTGTTTCTGCACTCACCTGTGTGTGTCTGAGGGCATGTCCCATGGTTCCTTGTGTTGATACACTTTAGGATTCCTTCCCAATCATTTGCGTCAATTGCAAAAAGAACTTATCTGTCCTTTGGGGGAAACTGGGGGAAGCCACTGGCGGACGATCAGCACATGAGTGATTTTGCATATGTCCTTGCCACAAAAGTGGACAGGCTCCAGCTCAAGCTAAAGTGGAGCTCAGGTGCCAACCCACCACCACCAGGCCAGTAAAAGCCCAGGTTAACTGTGCAGTGAAGACACACCCCAAGAGACAAATCTACATAGCCACTCACCGTAATCAAGGCAGCAAATTGTGCACGAGTTGCACATGAAAAATGTGAGTTTATGCACACTGCCAGCGGGATACAGGATCTCAGGGCTGCCGACTTTATAAACTGGAATAAGTTACATGGCTCCATTGCAACTAGGGCTGTGTGTTCGAATGCTACAGAACCCCAAATAAACCTGTATAGGGTGGCATTTGAATTTGGGATTTCTACCACCAGGACCTATTCAAAATATGGGAACAAAATAATGCAAGATCGTAGTCTTTTCACATTATTTTAGAGCCCAGAGGAAGGATAATACTGTGACAAGAGTAAATCTCTTACATTGCTTCAACCCCATCAAGTGTTTCCCAACCCCTCCAAAAAAACCTAATAAAAAACAAAAGAAATACAGAATTTGATACAGAATACTAGAGCATGAACACAACCCCAGTTACAAAAGGCAGCATTGTAACTTTCCATCTCTCATCTTAAACTCTTGACATGAGAAAAAGGACCAAAACCACGACTACTTCATGAGGTCTGCAGTTTAGGGAGAGTACCCTGAATTAGAGTGTTTGCAAGGAACTAAAGGATGGGCTGTAAACACGTATGAGCGCTGTCTCCATGCAGCTACAATGAAAATGCAACATGTGTCTCGTAAGGCCGTCTCAGGGTCCAAATCAACCAAAAAAGCCAGGACACCCATAATTCTGCCAACGGACCCTAAAGGTGGGATTTTAAAGAGAACTTAACATTGGTCACACTCCGCTCCCAGTAAGTTAGTGTTAACGTTCTCATTGACTCCAGTGGGAGCAAAGTTAGGCCAGCACGGAGCACTTTTGTAACTTCCACACGTATGGTAGAATTACTTTAGCTCTGAAAGCCCCTGTCTACACTTGCAGCGGTGCACGGGTGCGTGGAGCTCCATGTGGCAGTGAAAGGCCCCGGCAGGGGGAAGGAAGCGGGCAAAGACTACGGCGGCGGGGAGGCGGCAGGACACTGAACTGCTATAAACGGTAGAGTAGACGTGAGAGGCACTTCTTGGGTGTGTCGAGAGCCATGTAGTTACATACCCTGGTGTTCAGGCATGGGCACTCTTCTCTACTCACCTAAGCTGTGCCTCGCCATCTACGCTGCTATCTACACAGGCGTTAGCTGGGTGTGCAGTGTCTACCCAAAACGCTGCTGTGAGTACAGCCCTACTCTAACTCTACCAGGTCATTTACGGCAATGGGTAAGGAGGCAGAGCGCCTACCCTCAAATGATTGCAACGGAATACAGACAAATACCTCGCACAGTGCAACCATTTGCATCAGCTAATTCTGATTCTTCTTACTTTTGTGGGGTTAATCAGAGTCACTGTCACTTAAACATACACATAGATCGTATACACAAAGTTGCACAAACATGTGTAGAAACACTTCTATACATAAAACGTGATGGCAACGGTAAGGAGAGAGAGTAAAAGAGATGTCCAACTGGACGGCTATTGGGTTTGGGATATCTTTGGATGCCACATCAACAATCCCCTTGAAATGCCATTACTGTGTTATTTTTCAGATGCTAAAAAATCACGTAACATGCACAGATCTGCTTCCTAGGTGTCCCCAGAATCATAGGGACACAAATCAGCCCTGCAGCCCACATCTAGACATGGAGGAGGAAGCGAGGTTCCATTCTGCGTTATTGTTTTATCAACCACACTGACAGCTGTGCTATGATCCAAGCATGAAGATCATAGATCTGCCGTTGATTAGACAGCAAAGCAAAAAGAACACAGCTTGATATTCAGACAGCAGGGTCAGGCTGCCAGGAGTGACAGATAAAACACGCCTTTGAGCTTGTTTTTAATTCAGCAGCTACTGTTGAAAGAAAATCGTGGCACGCAGGGTGCCATTTTTATGGTGGCACCTCTGGCCAGCTCCACACAGACACCTAAACACGCCTGCCACTGCCCCTGTTGTCCCTTCGGCAGGTACATCTGGATGCTATAAAGATACAAAACCGGCTTGCGTACTCTCAGTGAACACAAACCGGTTTGCAAGTTGACTCCAAAAGTCATGATTTCTCTCTCAAAGTTCACACCGTTCGGCATAAAAAGGGGCTCAAACACTAACCTGTTGAGTCCGTGGCTTGTATGGGGAGCTGCTTTCCAAGTCAGCCAGGATGCTGGTCAAGGAGTCTATTTCCGCATCTAAACTGGATCGTCTTTCTTCAAGCGTCTTCTCACCGGGATTTACCTAGCCAAGTAAGAAACACAATTTCAAACTATTTAAATGGCTCAATCCCGCATGCAGTTTCTGATTTTCATCACCTGGAGATACTTTCACACCCTGGCAACAAATCCAGAGCCTCAGGTGACGCATGGATAAACATGTTGACATATTATAGCTGGCTACCATAATCAGACTGGGGATAGGAGAGGGGGAGCGGACGACAGGCAGGGGGAACAACTGAGTTGCAAAAGGATTTAGTCTGGTTTTTAATTTGTAATTCACATTTTCCCCTATGGTTTCTGGAAGGTTTATTTAAGGATTATGAAATTATGTTAGTGCGGTTTGGAGGGTGCTGCATAAATGAGTTGGCAGCTATATTTTAGCAGCAGGCCTGGTGTGATGGTTTGAGCATGGGCATTCAAAAGGGCATCTGGGAGTGTTATTGCAAGGGAATCGTGTCCCCCACCCCTGGAACGTGGCATGGCTGTCATTGAACAGCACTGAACACCACGAAAGCAATGGGTAAGCTCAAGATGGAAGGAACATGGTATCTAATTGATACCACAAAGGGAATTTGGAGGAGACAGAATGCCATTGCCTGATTGGGAATCCCCACAGGGCAATGGTGTTAACAATCCTGCATTAAGGCCCATGGGATCTTTAATGACCACGAGAGATCAGGATTCCTCTTTTACATCTCACCCGAAAAATGCCACCTCCTAGAGCCCAGCGGCTTCTGGCAGGCCAGACGGCGGAGGATGGCGTGGGTGTGGTTGTGTTGAGAAAGACAGGCCAAATTTGCCTCAGTGTAACTTTTAATAGGAGGTAAAATGATTTCCCTTCAAATGCTCTTTTTCATGCCTTGGCCATAGTGTTTTATGATGCTACAATGGAGCCAAACCCTTGCGTAAGGTCCTTAGAAAGAACATGTTCGAACAGCAAGGAAATTCTGCAGTTCTTTAGGGACTATCTGAATTAGGTCTAGTAGTTAGCGAGCACAGGACCAGGAGCCAGCGACTCTGGTACGCTACCTCTGTCCCGCCCACTCACTGGGTGGCCTTGGGCACGCACCCTCATCCACTCAGCTGGAGAAGTGGGTAAAAAACCAGGCGCTGCCCCAGATCTGACCAAGCCGAAGTAACGGACAATGCATGCTAGCCGACCCAGCCCGATAAATTATTCCAAGCCTGTTTGCGAGTGTTTCTGCAGATTCCACATGCCCCTGATCTCGGTCAGCCTGAAGGGAGAACAGCAGCCAGACTTGCTAGCCTGACTTGCTTGTCAGTGAGTGAATTCCTCGGGCATGGCTCGCAGCAGCTGTGACATAAATCCGTCCCCAGCCCTACCGACCCCTGCTCTGCTCTGACGGAAACGGATTTTCATTTGCTAATCCCAGCACCCGCCATGAGGCCGTATCAGGACCCGAGATGCACTCGCTCTAGAGCCTTCAGCCCAGAGGAAAGCCGGGCTGGAAGCTTAGTTCTCAGTGCACAGTAGTGGTTGCCGGTAGGGAGAGCCAGGCAGAGGGTACCAGGCCAGTCTGGTGGGCCATGAGGCATGACCAAGTGCACTGACTCCCCCATAGTCCACCCCGCCACTGAGCCCAGAGTACCTGCTCCCAATAGGCTTTGTAAGTCGCCAAGAAGGAGCAAGAGCAATATTTACTGTGCGCCTTGTAGGTGCAGGAGGCCCAATCCTACAACGGATTCATACAGAGCAGACGGGATCACCAGAGTTCCCAGCCTTTGGTTGTTTCAAGCTCCTCTCTCCCTTGCCCTACCCCTCATCCAACACAGATGCAGACTCAACTCCTTTACTTTTCCTCTCCATCTTCTCTGTCCCTCTCCCTTTTTTCTCTCCTTCTCCTTTATTTTGTGCTTTCCTCTTCTCTCCATGCCCCACTCGCTACCAGAGCACTTCGAGCACAAGCTGCAACGCATGGCCCTGGAGAGCGGAGACGCACAAGCTTTCGACCACCTGCTGCCAGAGTAGCTCGGTCTGGTGGCTGGTTTCAGAGCCTCAAGTCCTGGGGTGGGCGACCCATCGCCCCAGCCGGCTACACTGCAGGAGCAGGGAGAGGAGGGGAGTGGCTCTCAAAGTCCTGCCTGCCGCCACCGGAATACGTCTGCAAGGGAGGGTAGCTTTGGAGTCATGGGGTGATATCCTGACCCCACAGAGTCAACAGCCAAACTCCCATCAACTTCAATAGGGCCAGGATCTCACCCATTCTGTTCTCCCCACCCCACAGCACCTCCCAATCCACACAGGGATAAAATGACAAAGGAAGCGGCCGGAGCCTAAGTCCCACCTGAGCAGTTTGATAAGCGTTGCAATAAGCTCAAACCCTGAGCTGCGCCTAAGGAAGGCTACGTAGGATATAGCTCTGAATTGGTGAAACTGGGTGCCATTACATGAGTGAAGGCCATCCTAACCCACACGTGCAAGAGGGCAGAGTCAAGGTTACGCATGCTCACCCCTACACCATTCCCGTTCTCTTAACCCAGCTTCTTGTGTGGAATCGGTCAGTGTGCATCAGAATGACTTCTTCAGAACACTGTCCATTCTCTGAATCATCGCCACTGCTCAGAGTTAGATGCCAGTCATCAATTCGAGAGCAGACAAGAAATCCTCTCCTAAACGTGCAGCGGTATCGGATTGCCCTGCACAAACGACAAACCCTGTACCTGCTGCATCATCCCCTAATTCCTCAGGGCCATTTTAGCAGGGAAAAGTCACTCCTAGAACTCCTTTCCTGGCTGATCTCCAATCAAAAGCGATCACAACACTTCAGATAGCTATTCCCGCGAAGCGCTCCTCACGAGGGCACTGCACTGCAATTTCCCGGAGCAGACAAGCAGGAGTGAAACAAAAGAAGGCAATGGAGCCTACCCTAAAGCACACACAAGGGACCCAGAACAATGCTCTGTATCCCATACACAATAGTATCTGCCGTGTACTGGACACACTAGGACAGTTCTGGATGCATCATTTGTTTCCACAAGTTATTGATGACCTTATAACCCACAAGAGGCAGAGCAGAGCTGGGCCGCGATTGAGGCAGGAAAGGGCATTGCTAACGAGTGGAAACAAACGATGTAACCCAGAGCTGCTTATGCAACAGTGGTTTCGCTCTGCACCTGCAATATTGAAGCACTGTGGCAGATCAAAGTCGTATCCATCTGCAGCAGCCGGGTCCCGCCAGTGAGGGGACAATGAGGAGCAGCGTGTGAAAAGGAAGGGTCCTTCGCGGTAATGCCACCGCACTGGGGGAGAGAGAGCAGAGGAGCTATGGGGGGAGACAGGAGGAGATGCATGCTGGGGGGGGGGGGTGTCAGACAGGAGCCTCAGGTGACGCACGGATATGCCCAGAAGCCAGGCAGTTGGGCAATACTTGTCGGACCAGCCAGGCACTTTGGGGATGGCCGTGCAATCTAACGTAAGTAGCACCACATCCAGCTCTTCCACCTGCTCCTTTTGCTACCTGCTCCCACCAGCTCGCAACCTGCCCCACATCTCTGCAAAGCCCTGCAGTCTCTGGCAAACCCCACACATGGACTGGGATGGTAGGAGCAGGAAATGAAGCTAGCTGCAGGACTGGCAAGTTGGCACTAGGTTTAGACAGAACTAAAGCTAAAGAAGTGAGACTAGGGAAGATATCTTGCTGGTAGGTCAGGTATACACCAGCTGTCCATACAGAGGAGGGGTATTTCATATATAATCGTGGTCCATTTGGTAGGGAACTGAACTAGGAGTCCAAGACCTGGAGACTACTCCCAGCTCCGCCATTGCCCTGCTATGTGACCTTGGTCAAGTCACTTCCCCTTTCTGTGACTCTCTTTCCCCTCCCACCAATCATCCGCCTTGTCTGTTTAGACTGTTGGCTTCTTGGTACAGGGATTGTCTCTCATAACAGGATTCAAAAAAGAACTAGATAAGTTCATGGAGAATAGATCCATCACTGGCCATTACCCAGGATGGACAGGGATGGTGTCCCTAGCCTCTGTTTGCCAGAAGCTGGGAACGGGTGACAGGGGATGGATCACTTGATGATTCCCTGTTCTGTTCATTCCCTCTGGGGCACCCGGCATTGGCCACTGTCGGAAGACAGGATACTGAGCTAGATGGACCTTTGGTCTGACCCAGTATGGCCGTTCTTATGTTCTTATTGTGTGTCTGTACAGCGCTTTGCACACCTGCTCTTGGCTGGCCTCTGTAGGTGCTACTTCAATATATACAGTAGATACACACACAAAATATTGACCAGTTTCCCCAGTCTGTCCCTCCAAAACAGCTCTCCCACTCCCATGCATTTCAATGGAGTTGAAACCTGTGTCCCTAGCTTGCTCCCCCAATCTCTCTATTTTTGGTTTTCAAATGGGAGTGGGGGTGTGTGTGTGTGGCACAGAGTCCCCGTGCAGCCAAAGTCCCACAAGTCCAAAGCACAGTGTGCCTCGCATGTATACAACACTTCCCCAGGTATGCCCCATATTCACCACAATTACCTCCTATTTAACTATGGGGGGAAATGCCACCGTGTATTCCCACCTGAACCTAAAGACAAGAGCAAAGGTTTTGTTTCAAATCCCCAAATACACATTAAAATAGTTCAAGGGAGGCTGCCCCACAAAACAGGCGTGCAAAGACAAAACATGACTCCTGCATTCAGGGGGGATCCAAGAGGCTAGATTTGATGTGAAATCGCTGTTCTGGGCATCAGGGACGGGTTGGAAAAGCAGCAGTGCCCTTTAAAAATGGCAAGATTAAGCCTTTTGAAACAAATCTGAAACGATGGGAGGTTTCATTAGATGCGACTGCTGTGATTTCAACAGACGTGGCTGAACCAGGGATCTAATAGAATAGAACTTCCCTGCTGTTCCATCTGGCTGGAGCCAGCCCCGGACTATACTTTTGAGTCTTGTGATGACAGGAAGGATAAAAGCAAAAAGAAGGTAGGGTTTGATTTATTTCTCTCTCCCTCTCCCAGGTGAAACAACATTGCCGGATTTATTTTGCTGGGTTTTCTT